TACATACATATATATATATATACATACATACATATATATATATATACATACATACATATATATATATATACATACATCATACATATATATATATATATATACATTCATACATATATATGTATAGATAGATAGATAGATGCATATTAGTAGAGAGAGAGTGTGGGTTTATATGCGTGCATGAGAGAGGAATAGGCTACTTTTTTACATGTTTCCACTTCTAAATGCATGCAAGATCGTTTGATGTTTTGATGTTGATCTACAACCTAAGAGCAATTTGGTGATCTAGTTTTATAACATTTTATGAAAATATTGACTATAGATTACACTCATGGGCTATTTGGAAAATCAAACCATTTGGTATGAAGAATTTCAAATATTGTGCAAAATTGCAATGCATTTAAAATTCATCTCTAGTTCAATTCCAATGCATTTACAATTCATTGGATTTTAGTGAATTTCAAATACATTGTTTATGTAAAGCGTTGCTCGCCATTGTGCCCAAAAACTGATATTATTTGTCTACCACAGCCACCGCCAGCCTCTCGTCATCTATCGCCTGCCCATCGCCATCCGCCTTTGCCTGCTAACAGACCTATTTTACATTGAATTCTTTTTTTTTTAAATCATACAAGAAAATATAAAGTTATGTATTTATTTTACACTGAACAAAATAGCTCCAAGGTATTCCAAATATAATAAATTATTTTTACATTGCATTCTTTTGCATTGCATTTCTTTTTTTTAGCAAACCAAGCAACTCTTTAATTAAAAAATTGAAAATTTCTAACATCTCATTCTAAAAGTGTCATCTTCACATAATATTTTTGAAATCAAACCCATTTAAATTATTTTACATTTTATTTTTTAAAATGGTAAAAAAATTTACGTTTTATGTGAGTACTCCATCACCATATAATTGATAGAATATTCATCCCACCATCTAGATTCCATTATAACCCTCTTTTTTGTATGCTTATTACTTCATGGAGCCATCCTAAAAATTTTATAAAATTTGGCATCATGCTAATTTTATAAGCCAAGTGATTTTAAGTTCCCAACTGAATATTTTTGGTTGAAAAATCAAAGAAAATAAAGCTGTGCCGAAAAATATCTCTTCTTTCTAAAACGATAATGCTCTATCCCTATACTCTGTCCCTATAGACATAACATATATCTACTCTACTATGATCCTAGGCTGCTTTGAGGGCCACAAAATTGCTATCTGGTCTTGGTTTGATGTGCACGGATGGGTTGCGATCTTTAAAAGTTGCAACTGCTTTTTTTTTTCTTTTTTTTTTTTAATTTAACTTTATATTCTCTGCCATGAGTATCATTTACCATAGGCTTAGAATATCATTTTTGTCTTGAGCATCTAATCTTATTACAAAGAATCTGCAGTTAAATTTATTTGAGCTGCTTTATCTTGCTTTTTCAGTTTATTCCTAGTCTATTTAGTCTTCTTATTTATTTATCATTTATTTATGGAGCATTTACTTACATACCACCCAACTCTTATGTATTTACATATCTAACACATAATATTTGCTTTTTCACATTTATGCCGCCCAAATCATTCATGCCACATATAAAAAATCACTATTTTTACTTTTAAGAAGTGAAATACACATTTTCATGCATAGGTAAGCGGGCATATATGTAAAAATTGAAGTTTACGTGTTACAGTATGTGATACATAAGCATTGAGTAGTATGTATGTAAATCTTCCTTCCTTTGTTTATTTATTTATTAAGTATTTTCAATTGGATGACAAAGTTGGTGGAATGGATTCATTTTTCCTGAAGAACATGGCTAATCAAAGAAACTGGCCAACAAGGAGGAGAATTGCAAAATACAACTTTGCATGTCAGTATTTGATACTCGAAGAGGTGTTGGAAGAATAAGGTTGCTTTTCAACTTTGGTTCTTGCTCTACTTTGGAAATATTTTCACTGATATTATATGAGAGGGCCAATGAGAGGTAAATATTCAAGTAAAATGCATTAGTTCTGCATTGATTACAATGTTGTTGGGGGCGTTTACATACATACCATACCACCCAATTCTTATGTATTTACATATCTAACACCTAATGTTTGGTTTTTACATTTATACCAACCAAGTCTTTTTTATCACAAAAAAATGCCACCATTTTAACATTTAAACAGAGAAACACGCCTTTTTATGCATAGATAAGGTGGTATGCATGTTAAATTTAAATTTAGATGTCGGATATGTAAATACATAGGAGTTGAGTGGCATGTAAGCAAAACTTTGCTCTTTTTAATGTAAGATGAGTTTTGTTGTAGTAGAAAGCTCAACTCACTTTAGATAAATAAAATTACTGCCACTAAAATATGATGGATCTCCCAAATCTCTTGACAAAATTCCCAATAGGTGATAAAATCATGATGTTTTTAGAGATTTGTTTTTTCATGATAAAGCAAAATAAGAGAAACAAGAATTCAGCAGCTGCAAAATCTCCAAGAACAACATCTTATGTTGAGTGATATTGAGTTCTATACTTATATAAGTAACAAATTATGCTATAACATGTAAGGGTTATACTGCATGATGGTCGACAGATTAATTTTCCTCTGGAAGTTCATACTCGAGCTTGTAATGAAGCACTTTTGGGATGAATGATCCCTTGAAAAGTCTTGCAATAAGGGATACAAAACATAGAATAATGAGAAAAGTGTCAAAATGATCCCCAACTCTTTGTAGGCGGCCATTTTAGTTCGAAGTTTCTAAAGTGTTAATTCAGTCTGCGTACTTTTTTAGTATGGGTTGGTATAATTCCCAATGATGACTATTTTACCCCCCATCAAAAATAGTTTGTATACTATTTTAGCTATGCTATAAATTCTGGGACTAAAATGGACCCCATGTAAATAACCAAGGGATTATTTTGACAGTTTACTCGTACAATAACTTATATACTATGACCCGAGTTATTATGCATCATGGCAAAGTTTGCGTCTTTAACCACTTTTAACTGATTCGTTGAAACTGAACTCGGGTTGACAAATTGGCATGGGTTGAATGGACCTGGTTAACTAGGGTTGTGTTCAGTTAACCAAGTTGATGGGGTTGTTTATTTACTTTGTTTGGTTGTTTCCACTATTAGGGTTGTTGAGTTTGGCAATCCAACCTTGGAATAAATCTTGCTTGTTTTTGAAAGAACTTAAGATTTCTTTTTTTTTTTTTTTTTGCTTTATAAAAACATAATTTGTTTATGTTAATATGTAGTTGTATTTAACATGTTTTATTTCTCTGAATTATTGCATTATTGTTTGTTAGATTTGTATATATTGCTCATTTCCTTCTTGGAAGATTTACATACACACCTCTCAATTCTATGTATTTACGTATCTAACATATGAACTTCAATTTTTAAATATGTCACTTTTAACTATTGATACTTTTTATGTGATATAAAAGATTTAGGCGGTATAAATGTAAAAAAAATAAAGTTTAGGTGTTAGGTATATAAATACATAAATGCAAGGGATTTCAAATTTTGATTAAGTTGTAATTTGGGTGATTTTCAAATACACTATAAAAGATGGCTTTAATTGTAAAAGTCACTGCATGAATTTTAAATACACACCCACTCTCTTATCAACCTTGGTTAGCCTTCCTATTAGGATCATTAAAAATCTTCATTTTTATATTTAATCAAAGTTATATTAACTTTAATTCAGATGAAGTGATTAATTTAGAGAAAAAATTATTATTATTATTATATGCTAAGAATTTAACTCTAATTTGCATATTATATTATTTTTATAATTTTAAAAATGTCACACCCCACAAGTTTGGGAAGAAATTTACAAAATTTAGCATGTGTGAGTTGAAAATTAAATGAGGATAAACTTAATTTCAAAAATATTTTTTTTTATGAATAATGTCATCATAATGTCTAAATCGACAAATTCCATAATAATCTATCTATTAAAAAAAATTATATTTTCATTCGAATATTATTTCAAATAAACAAATTTATAGGTGTAATTATATATGAGAGTTTGAAAGATAATTATTTAAAGATTAATAGAATTAAAGATTAAATTATAGCTCTAAAAATTATTTTTGTTACTAAGATTTTTAATGTTATAAGTGTTTATGCTCCTAAGTAGATTTTGATATAGGTTCAAAAGAAGAATTATAGATTGATCTAGAAGAATTAATATAAATGACACCTCTTGAAGAAAGAATTTTGTATTGGAGGGGAAATGAACATATTGGTAGAGTGGTGGAAGATTTTAGAAATATTATTGGTGGCTACGATTTTTGAGTGATTAATGAATAAGTTAGAATCGATTAGATTTTGTTTTATTATATATTTTTTTTTATTGTTAATACTTTATTTAAGAAAAGAGATGAACAACCATTACTTATAAGAATATATATAATAAAATATAAATTGATTATTTTCTTATGAGAAAAATTAATTGTTGAGAGTGTAAACATTGTAAGGTCAGTCCAAGTAAAAAACTAAGTACTCAATTTTGATTATTATTTTTGAATTTTAAGATAAAAAGTTGTAAGATAAATAATACAAGAAAATACCGTCATATAATTAGATGAGGGCGCCTAAAAAAAACAAATATAATTATTTTTATGAGTGAACTTTAAGATTTCAATATTTGGAATATTCATGAAGAAAGAAATTTTAATGTTGGATAAAGTAATAAGCATTATTAAACAATTGACAAAAGATGCACATGGAGAATCAAAATAAAAATTTTTGTAAATAAAAATAGTTGCTCGTGGAATAATGATGTGATAGAAAAAATAAAATTTAAAAAGTATGTTATAAAAATTTTAAATGTAAATCTCAGATAGCTGGGAAAAATATAAGGTAATCCGTCATGAATCTGATAGAACAATTTGTAACACTAAAAATTCATGTTTCCAGTAGTATTTATAATAGATTAAGGGTCTGTTTGAGGCAGTTTTACAAAACGCCGCCGAACCGTTTGGTTCGCGCGTTTCGCCAGTTTATCCGAAATTGCGTTTGAGTTTTTACACTGAACGCAGGCCGCAGGTCGACCCCCGCGACCGGCCTGCGGGTCGCGTTTCAGGATAAGCAGCTTATCCTGAAACATACAAGCTGCCCCAAACGGATCATAAATATTAAGAATGGTGAAAATGTATGTATAAACTAGTCAAACAAAGTGAAAAAAAATAAGGATTTAATTCAAGTATATTAGAGATTAAAATAAAAAAGTATTTTCTTAGAGGATTATATTCAACATAGATAGTTGAGTTATTTTGATAAACTTTTCAATGATGTTTCTGTTAATACGATTGACCTTAGTGATCGTAATGACATTAATAATAATAAAACGTTTTACTTTTGGTAAAAAAGAATTTGAGGGGGCTTTAAAGAAAATTAAGGGTGGAAAATCAATATTACCTTATGATATCCTATTCAAGTGTGAAAATATTTAGAATATGTGGGAGTTTCTTGGCTTACTAAACTCTTTAATATTATTTTAAAAACTAAAATGATGTCCGAGGAGTAGACGAAGATTATTTCGGTCACCATTTTAAGACTAAAGGGAATGCACAAAAGGGTGCAAATTATAGAGAAATTAAGTTGATGTGCATACTTTAAAATTTTGGGAGAGGGTGATTGAGCATAGGTTAAGACGTGATACAAAAATTTCTCATAGTTTGGATTTATGTCGGACATGATTAGTGGAAGCTATACATTTATTGAGAGGTTTGATGTGTAAGAAGGATTTATATATTATTTTTATTGATTTAAAAAAGACTTGATAAAGTTCCAAGAGAAGTCTTTTGGAGGGTTCTTGAGAAGAAAGGTGTTTATATGACTTATTTTCAATTCATTTATTGCCATTACTTGTGTTTGAACAGTCGGAGAATTGATCAAGTATTTTCTTTCAGTCGGATACCATCAGAGATCAGCTTTAAGCTCATATCTTTATTGCTTTAGTTATGGATGCTTTTATTGGACATTTACAAGAGGATGCACCTTGGTGCATGCTTTTCGTTAATGATATTCTTCTTGTGGATAAGTTTAGTGAAAGAGTTCAGAAAAAACTTCAATTATGGAGGTCTACATAGGATTCTAAAGGTCTTCATTTGAGTAGATCTAAAACTAAATATATGGAATGTAATTTTAGTAGTAGCAGCTCTAGTGGCAAAGCTGTAACTATAGGTGATCAAACCATTAAAATGTGTGATTGTTTTAGATATCTTGGGTCTATAGTTCAAAGTGTTGGTGATATAAATGGGGATGTTATTAGTAGAATTCAATTTGGTTGGTTGAAGTGGAGGAATACGTCGGTCGTATGTGATAGAAAAGTATCGCTTAAACTAAAAGGAAAATTTTATAAGATAGTGGTGAAACTTGCAATGCTCTATGGAGCAGAATGTCGGCCTTTAAAAGAGAAGCATAAAATAAAGTAAAGTGTTGCTGAGATGAGAATGCTTAGGTGAATGAGTGGCTTGACACTTAAGAGTCAATGCAAAATCAATATATCTTTGATAAGGTTGGTGTACCTCCAATAGCCGACAATATTAGAGATGGTTGTCTTAGATGGTTTGGTCACATTAAACGCCGACCATCAGAAGATCTTATTAGGAGAATTGATTTTTTAGATTGGACTTATGTTAAGAAATGCATAGGTAGACCAGGCATCAAACACGATGAAATCCAATGATTTCTTGTTGGGATATTCACTTCATATAACTATGAATATTTCATACATCATAGGCCAACCATTTTTATGCATACTTAAGCATAAATTACAGAAACAAAATGCTTTGCATTTAACAGGAGTAATACAAAGTTAATTATTTTAACTATTTCAAAGAATTGAATGTATATAAATTTGTGCGGCAATAAATCATGATAGAGCTAACATTCAGCTCATATCAACATGCTAATGCGAAAAATATCAACTGAATAAACATATTACACATACAATGAATGATATCTATGGTTTCCTTTAAGTTAGGCTTTAATAATTAATATTAAAGTATCATTAATTTCTCATTAATTAATAATTTTCATGTGGCTTAATGAAATCTTTATCTCCATCGTAATATTTAACTATTACAAAATGTATACAAATATATAATATATATGATGTATGCATCTATATATTGTAAATTAATTTATCTCAACAAATAAATGACTGTGAAATATCTAGTACTTCTTATATGTAAAATCAATGATTATGTATTTGTGAAAGGTTGGATGCCCCATTTAAGGCTCAATTATTATAGCATCTTATCTTCCCTGAATTGCATAATGTATATCCTTATTTAGTACAATTTATTGTTGTAATTATTATTATTACTAATACGTCTTGAATAAATTTTCAATGTGCGACATGAATCTCAAGGCATGACACGTCTCTCGATGCATCATTTGAGAAATGAACTTTAAAGCTTTGATAAATAGTCATCAGGAAGTTTCACTTTAGTAAACTTACAGTTAAATTGACCGGCTCGGCGAGACGGACCCAATGATACCAAAATTGATCTAATACAAGTCAAATCAAGCTCATATCAAGACATAAAATTATTTTTGGAAGCTTTTCAGACATATTTGGAAGATCAAAACAACTTAGAATCGAGCTAGTTCATAATCGAATCGATCGTCTCCACAAGAAGAATCCAAAGAGCCCAAAATCGCTCAATTCTGGCATCGTTAAGGTCCTCAAATGTCCATCAAACGTCATCAGATCAAGATAAGTTCTTGGTGCCGTCCAATTAAAATATTTCATATTCATTCTTTAATTGCAAACATAGCTCTATAGATAGAGCCACAAATAACCTTGATGAGCCAATCAAAGCCACATTTCTTCCCACTTCTCTATTTTGAGCAGCCACAAATAATCTTGATGAGCCATCAAAGCCATCCAAGCCACCGATCACACTATAAATTGTTCTCCATTCTTGCTTGCACTCCCAAGGCTTCGGTGGACTCCCAAGGCACACGAAGAGGAAGTTTATTCGTGCATGTGCATACCGCTCTCCCCTCTATCGATCCCTACCGCTCTCTTTCTCGCGATACCCTAAACTCCAAATTCATGACTTGATAATTGTGAAGGGTGGCAAGGAAAGGACCGGGGCGGTGTTGGTCGGGTAGGACCGGTCTAGTCTAGAAGGAAAAAAAAAAATGAGTTATCACAAAAACAATCATTATATTTTTGAATTCAAAGTTAGCTCGATAAATCAATGAGTTGAACAAATACACAATATTGTTTTACCCATTTGCATAATGATCACTAAACACCCTTAAATTCAAGTCAAAAATAGTCTGAGATGGCTTCTAACCAACAAACATAAATTGAGCTAAATATTTTCTCAATCAACGAATATGAGCAACATTGAAAAAAAATAGTCTGCCACCTGTTGAAGTAGTCAAGTTGGGCCCACCTGTTAATCAGTGAATAAATTTATGTCCATGCCATTTAAGAGCCGTCTAACATCTATATCGCCGACTTCTCCATTAGGAGGACGTCGTAGGCGTCACGTACGAAACAAAGATCCCACATCCTAAAAGCATCAAACACAAACAAAAATATCTCAAAAGTGGGTCTCATTAGCACATCCACGGTTTAATATCTGACCCATTTAATGACCTGTTTCCCATTCGTTTCACCAATGCGAATGTTAAATCGTGTTCAGGTTTTCGGGTTGTGAATCGTGCCGGGTCATTTTCAGATGCCGTCGATAAGAGAGGGCGCATAATGTCCCAAAGTGGCAATGTCACCCTTCCGTGGACGAGCCGAGGACGACTGGTGGCCTCCTGGTCGACTACTGTACCACAGAGACCCTTTAGCAGCTGGATTTTTCTCTCTGCTCTCTCTCCTCCTTCGTCCTTCTCTGCTCCCCTCTGTGCAAAAGAAAAAGGAGTGCCGCGGGTGGGAGGCGGTAGCTATCGCAAGCGAGCGGAAAAGAGGGCACATGCTATATCTCCAGTCGTTGTGTAGTCCGACACCCTACCTTCATCGATTTCTAGGGTTTCTGAGTTGTTTTAGCCGTCGATCTGTTCTCCCGCACCGATCTGCTTTCCTGTGGCGCTTTGGCGCTGGAGGGTCTTCGAAATCTTAGCTATCTATACCGTGGATGTGAGATCTCCGGTTTTGTTCACTCGAGATGGCGTCTTCGGAAGCTTCCGTGAAGACTAGTGGCGCCAATGGCCACGGAGATAGCCTCTCTTCGTCCTGCACGGATCGTCTGTCCATCGGCAAAGGTACGCCTACCGCCATCAGCCGACGCGTCGGTGTTGGCGATCTCTTGCTCTTTTTGCAAGTTTTTGCTTATAAGTTTTGCTCATGGTTTTTGGTTTTGTTGGCAGAGGCTGAGGACTTGCTGTACAACGAGCTCTGGCACGCGTGCGCCGGCCCGCTTGTGTCGGTCCCGCGCGTGGGTGAGCGGGTGTTCTACTTCCCTCAGGGTCATATAGAGCAGGTAGCTCCGATTTTTTCATAGGAGTTTGATTTTCGTTTTGTGTTTCTTCTGTCATTTGTTAGCTGTTAATTGGTGTTGCTTGCTGTTGTCGTGGTGACGAACCAGGTGGAGGCCTCGACAAATCAGGTGGCCGACCACCAGATGCCGGTTTACAATCTTCCTTCCAAGATACTCTGCCGTGTGGTGAACCTTGAGTTGAAGGTATACCCCATTTTCAATCCTTCTCTCTTTGTAGGGACAAGTTTTCTACTGCTTTTTTGTGGAACTCATATATGCATGTACTGTTGGCCAGGCTGAGTTGGATACCGATGAGGTTTATGCTCAGATAACACTATTCCCTGAGCCAAATGTAAGTTAGTGCTTGGCTTCCTGCTTTGCTTACATGTATTAGTCTAACTGATGTGCTGTATTATGTTAAAAATGTAGAAGATTATGGACTTATTTATTTTTGCATTTTGTTTGGTTTCAGCAAGATGAGCAGTCCACTGAGAAGGAGCCCCTGCTGCCGCCGCCAGCAAAGCCTCCTTCCTATTCATTTTGCAAAACTCTGACTGCGTCTGATACTAGCACACATGGGGGATTTTCAGTTCTGAGGCGGCATGCAGATGAGTGCCTTCCTCCTCTGGTATGAGATTTCAGCTTCTCATTCATATTATGATGCTGAACCTGTTTTGATGATCATCCTATATTTTTTTAATATCATTTGTAGGGTTTTTTATCTTTTTGGACTCATTTGAAATGCTTGTTCCTCTTTCAGGATATGGCGAGGCAGCCTCCTACGCAAGAGCTTGTGGCAAAGGATTTGCATGGAGTTGAGTGGCGCTTTCGTCATATTTTCAGAGGTAAGGACTAAAGACTTTTGCCATTTTATTGATTTTAATTAACTTCTAAGAGTTTTTTGTGTTCTCCTTGACATGATTGAAGATATTTTATGGTGTTATGCTTTTATCATGTAGATCACATATTATAGTTTGTTTAGTATTTTCCAAGCTGTAGGCTACTGTCTTATCACTTAATGCTTTATTGGTTTGCCTTCTCTTGCAATCTATTATACTGAAATGGTTTGATCTCATCTTATTCATAATTATCAGTAAAGAATAGTTTCATCAATTGCTTCATTTTTGAATTTCTTTTATTGCTATAACATTCATGAAGTTAAAAATTAATGATAATAGCATTAGAAAATCAGCCATCTTGGTAAAGAAAATAATTTGCGTACATGTAAAGGTATCATGGCTGTACTTAAACATAATGTTAGGGCAAATTCTGAACTTTAGAGTTCAGGCTTAAAATTAAAATATATAATTTGTTTGCAAGTCCCTTATTCATCAACGGCTAACCTAGTTATCTTGAGAATCATCAATCATCATCACCTCCATGCATAAGTGAGCTTCTCTTATCCTCATCATTTTCATGTTTTTTGCAAGTTTGTTCGGCCTACATAGTTTTTTTTTCTTTTGTTTGATCTTTAACGTCCGTACACATTTCTATATCTCTAAATGCTATAATAAAAAAATTAAAATATTACTGGAATTATATTGGTTAAATAAATGGTGCATGTTTTTTTGTTCCACTTGCACCTTGCTACACTGCTAATAGGGTAAGAAGTGTACGTCGCTGTGCTTTGAGCTATACTATACATTATTTTAGCTACCAATATACATTTTGTTATAATGAAACAGTTGTTGTAACTTGTTCTGCATTATTTTTGTTTATTTTGCTGGCATTAATATCCAAGATGCCTCATTAATTTGTCATTCAGAGGGCGCTTGTGATGTTTGATAAAAGTAGGAAAGCTACTAGTACACTTTGAGGCACACAGCTCATTGAAATTGGCTAGAATTTTTGGAGCTCCAGCATTACTCCCATAGCTTCCTGGTTCCTATTGTTTAATGCTTGATGTTGGTTCTTTGTTAATCTCTTAAAAATTTTGTATACTTCGTTTTGAAATAGCACTTCATCATTCCTGATTCATTATCTCTCCCTCTCTCTTTTTTTTTTTCCTTTTTTATTCATAGGTCAACCTAGAAGGCATCTGCTTCAGAGCGGGTGGAGTGTCTTTGTGGGCTCCAAGAGGCTTGTCGCCGGTGATGCTTTTATTTTTCTGAGGTAAGCTATTAGTTTCATCTTATGGCCTGTGATTTTATTAGATTGTGTGTCATTTGCTTTGCTTCTAAACTAAACTGATATTTTTAGGGGTGCAAATGGAGAACTACGAGTAGGTGTGAGGAGAGCAATGAGGCAGCAGACCAACGTGCCTTCCTCAGTCATATCTAGCCATAGCATGCATCTTGGTGTTCTTGCAACTGCTTGGCATGCTATTTCTACTGGCACTATGTTTACTGTGTACTATAAACCGAGGTATCTGGCTTAAATTCCAAAATAACATTTGTTCCATAGGGATGCAACCAGGCCATGCCATATTATCACTGTTTTGTTGTTTATTTGTTTAATAAGCTTTCTTTTTTCCTTTTAATGAACAACCAATATAACAGGACAAGCCCTTCTGAGTTCATCATTCCATGTAATCAGTACATGGAATCTCTAAAGAACAACCATTCCATTGGGATGAGGTTCAAAATGAGTTTTGAATGTGAAGAGGCCCCTGAGCAAAGGTATGACATTTCATGGTCTCGTGAAATGAAATAAAATTGTTCGGTAAAGCCCAGCTAGGCAAGCTACCCAATTTTTATAACTTCTGCATTCCTTTGTGCAGGTTCACTGGCACGATAGTTGACATAGGAGATGTTGATTCTAACAGTTGGCCTGGTTCAAAATGGAGATGCCTTAAGGTACAAGGTTGAAGATTTCCTACCAGTTGTTGCTTATATTATGTGATGGATCACTTGCTTTATGGATTTAGGTGCGCTGGGATGAAAATTCTTCTGTTCCTCGTCCTGAAAGAGTTTCCCCCTGGCAAATTGAGCCCGCTATGACCCCTCCAGTTAACCCTCTTCCAGTTCCAAGACCGAAAAGATCTCGAGTGAATGTGATCTCCTCTTCTCCGGAGTCCTCTGTCCTTACCAGAGAAGGTAGAATACTGAAATGTATTATGCAAGTTTTTTTTATTTTTCAGGCGGTTGCATTGATTTCTTTTTGTGATCTTAGGCAACTTTCATTTTTACTGTCTTGCATAGGGACATCTAAAATGGCTGCAGAACCTTCCCTGATCCATGGAGTTGCAATGGAAGCACAAGGAAATGACTTTGCGAGCATGAGAAACAACTTTGAGAGCAATTTGTCTGATCCTGTTTTGAAGTCTATTGTTTGGCCTGCAAACCACATTGAAGAAAAACACCCTATTTGTGCCCAAAAAATAGTGGGTTTAGATGGTTGGATGCAAGTTGGTATGCACGAAACTTCTTATACTGACATGCTATCTGGATTTCAGACTTCTGATGATCTGCATCATTTTGGTTTGCCATACTTTGAACATACTTCCGCTGATCCAAAGCCTCCGAAGAGCTGTTTATCAGGTCAGAAATGTGAACTAAACTGGCTTTCAGGACATTTGTCTTTAATGCCATCTCATGCATACCTGAATCTGGAAAGAAATATGTCAGCTAATTCCACTGAGCTGACTAATCATAGAAATCAAAATATTGGATTTTGTCGGGTGGAAGGGCACCCTGTGATACAGCTTCTGGGCTTCGAACGTCCTCAAGACTGTTTCACAAAACGCCTGAAATCCCCGTTAGCAGAAAAGTTATTACAGACATGCTCGCCAAAATCACAGCCTTTGAAGGCAGCCCTCAATGAAAATGAAAATGAAAGGGCTAAAGAAGGCTGCAACTACAAGCTCTTTGGGGTTGATCTTAATGGGAGTCCAACCTCAGAACCTGTAGTACCAAAGGTAAATTTGCATCAAGTGCAAGAAGTGCTTAGTCAGCCAGCTGTCGTCGGATTGCCTCACCCATATGTTTTTGAATCCGACCAACATTCTGAGCATTCAAAAGGTGGAAAATCGAGCGACACTGCCTTAGCAGAGAAATGCCATCAATCACAACCTGCTAAAGATGTACAAAGCAAGCCTCCGACTACTCCTTCAGTCAGAAGCTGCACTAAGGTTTGCCTTGTTGTCACCATCTTTATTTTATGTTATGCAGATGTAATAATTTATGAATGAGGAGAGTAAAAATATTAAACGAATCAAATAAACCCCTTCTCGTGTTCTGTTTCATATAATCTTAAATCACATTCTTTCTGGAAATCTTGCTATGGACAATATTATCACCTTTCACTTTCAATAATTTTTGTTCGGTTGAAAGTATTTACATATACATATCTAATATCCATAATTTTGATTTACATACATACCATCTTACCCATGCATGAAAAAATGTATTGCGCTTTTTTAAAAGTTAAAATGGTGATATATTTTGATGTGATACAAACTACAAGTCACCTTGTTCCTCATGCATGCAAAACAAGAGCCATAGACTAGTCTTTTCTAATGGCAATACTAATGTAACCTCAGACTAGTCTCCCCCTTCCCCGCCCTTTTTTCTACTACACCTCGAAAATGCAACTCAACCTCACTGTTCATATTTTTTTCAGGTGCATAAGCAGGGTATTGCTCTCGGGAGGTCGGTGGATCTTGCCAGGTTTAGTGGATACATTGAACTTATTGCGGAGCTGGATAAAATGTTTGAGTTTGGAGGTGAATTGATGTCTTCCAATAAAAACTGGATGATTGTATATACTGACAATGAGGGCGATATGATGCTGGTTGGAGATGATCCATGGCAGTAAGTTTCACTCCCTCTGTCTGCTGCTAATTCATATTTTCCACTTCATTAAATGCGAAGTTTCTCCGCTTCTTAGACCAAACCAATAACAGTTTTTATTTTTATTTTTTTTTGCTAACCAGGGAATTCTGTAGCATGGTTCGAAAGATTTACATATATACCAAAGAGGAGGTTCAGAAGATGAACCCTGGAACACTCAACCCAATAGCTGATGATAAATTGCCTTTCGTGAAGGATAACATGGCTGAAATGGAATCTAAGACATCTCTGTCAACCTCAGAAGCTACTGCGAAAAGTGATAAAAGCTTTTCCTAGAGGTTCAGTGTGAGCGTGCCATCTTTGTTAATTGTTTTTTTTTTTTTTTTGGGTGGCATACATTTCACCCAATGTATTTGCATGTCTAACACCTAAATTTTACCTTTTTACATTTATACCACTCAATATTTTATATCACAAAAAAAAAATCACCATTTTAATTTTTAAGAGGTGAAGTAATACAACTTTTCATGCATAACCACGGTGGCATGTGTAGAAGTTGAAGTTTAGGTGATAGATAGGCAAAGACATAAGAATTGGGCTGGAATATGCATGCATACCAACCCAATTCTTATGCATTTACCACCCTACTTTGATATAAAAAAAAATACCCTAAACCCTAAACTTTTAAAAATAGAATACACTCTTTTCAAAGGAGAAATAATTATCTTCTACGTTTTTAACATATCTCAATTAGGTTTTGATTAGTAATTAAGGATTCATAATATAATGCCTTTTAATTAGTAGTTGTTGTATTCTTAATGACTGACAACATTTGATTTGTAGGTTGGAAGAATTGAAGTGTAAGGGATGGTGTGGAGAAGAAAACTGGGTATCCTTTTTTAAAATGCAGTTTTGGGTTTTAGCTTTGGTTACTTTTGTTTTTTTCACATTATCTGCTGCTTCGGTTGCTCAGTCGGGTCCTGTAAAAAAAGCGTCTTTCTCTGTGGTTTTTGTAGAAGGTTAATGGGGCTGTGTTAATAGCTATTGATGATTACCACCTTCACAAACCATATGTAAATAGCGCGCGTCTTAGTAGGTCTCCAATATATAAATATATATATATTATTAGTAGGTTTCCGACTGCATAATAATATTTTGCGCATTGTATGGGAAGGGAGAGCAGGTGGTGGTTTTGATTGAAAGCAATCAAAAGGGGTAACTGTAGGTTTTAGCTGATGAATATTTTGACAATCGTTAAGATTGTGTGTTTACATTTTTGTTTATATTGAGTTTTTGTGCATAGCCATCTGCACCTTCTAATCTTTATTTCATTTTCTTTTTTATTTTAACCTATTTTTGTTTGAGTGGCTAAGTTCAAATTTGATTTAGACGTAATTTCATGTTTGGATTGTTGTAATGATTTTTCAAGTTTTAGGATTCGTTTGGGGGTGGGAATTTATTAAGTTTTTATTCAGTTTCACTAATTGAAATATATAATTCTAAAATTAACTACTCTACTAAATTTTTGTTTAAATGTAAAAAAAAGTAAATAATAATTAGACGACAAGGAAACACTATACGGTAGCTTACGACTAGGGGTGTAAACAAATCGAACATGAATGAAAAGAGGTGTTCGTGTTCGATTCGTTTGAAATTTAGTTTGTTTGGAATAAGCTCGTGTTTGAAATTGTTCGTGAAGTCATTGTTTGTGTTCGTTTCTTAATGAATGAGCTGAACACGAGCTGTTTGTGAATTATGAAGAGATATTTTGACATCCCTAGTATTAAAATATAAAAATAATATATTATATTAATTATATAAATTTTATTATATAAATATATAATATTTATATTAGTATATTACTAATATAATACATTAATATATTATTATTATTATTATTATTATATATTATAATTTTTGAATTTAATTTTTAAAATTATCATTTTATATATAATTAATTTATATTTTCAGCAATAATGATTCGAACAAAAACGAATGCATCAATGTTTGTATTTGGTCAGTTTAACTAATTGAGCTAAAAGAAGTTTACGTTCATTTTGTTTACTTATCGAATGAATCGAACACAAACTGTTCGTGAACAACGAGTGTTTTTGACAGCCCTACTTAAAATGAAGATGTGTAAGGGCGATTGAAGTGGTGATGAAATTTTCTTGTAGCAAATGTTGCTTAACTGCGAATTATTTAAGAAAATATAATTAAGAAGATTGTTATTGTCATATGGTTCATCAGATGTGCCATCGAGATTTTAACTACCATAAAATCATAGATAATTTCTGTTGTGATTTATATTTTTTCTTATTTTAGGGATTTTCAAATACATAACATCGAACCTAATGTCACTATTTTCTAGCCGAAGATGTTGAATGAAATGAGCCTCTTACATCTTTAATCTTTCCGGGCGTACCACCTCTATATTTACATATGTATACCTAAATTTATCTTCTCACATATCTTTGTCAAATATTTCATATAACATTAAAAACCGTCATATTAATCTTTGAACTTCAACATGGTGGTATCTATTTAAAAATTTAAGTTTGGTTGTCATAATATGTAAATGCATAGAAATTATGTGGTATGTATATATAATTCTTCCTAGTTTTATTGACCGTTGGTTGATCGTCATTAAAGAATATTAAATCAAGTAAATCATAGTTTATATATAATTCTTACTCTTTAAATATTTAAATGATAATGTAAGTAAATATAAATATTTAATTGAAATTAGTGCTATTTACAAATCAATCATCCTATTTCATACATTTTTTTTTTGAAATTTTCACTCGAATATCGAAATTCATTATAAATGCCCAATCTATATTTTTCACTTTTATATAAAATACTTCAAAAATGTTATATTTTATAGTGGCTATGTAATTATCCTATTTGTTTAGAGGTGGTATGTATAAATACATCAGAATTCTGTGGTATCTGAGTAAATTCCTCTTTTTTTAATTCATATCACCATTGAACAGTTGGGTTCCCATTTTGGAATCCCTAAAAAAAAAGCCCTCACACTGTCAAAGTACTGTAGGTGTTTTGATCATTTCGGAGTCAGACAGACTCAGAGTTTCTGTCGCATGCAGCAGAGCTCAGAATTGATTCGACTGAAAACATTTGCGAATCATTAAATAATTATCTTACGAAATATATTGGATACTGATTTTACGAAAAATTTTTGGTAATATTAAACATTTAGACATTTATAAAATTTTAATTTCCTTTTACTACATTTATAATAAAGCTTGTTTCTGAAGACATGAATGGGAGTATGGCTGTCAAAAAAAGCTCGTTGTTCGCGAACAGCTCGTGTTAGGCTCGTTGGTTAAATAAACGAGCAGAACACGAACAAATTTTTAAAGCTCGAATTATGAACGAGCCGAACACGAACAGTTCTTTGTTCGCTCGTGTTCGGCTCGTTTTAGCTCGAAATAAAAAAATATATATATAATTATTTATATAATAATATATTACCTATATTATTTATTTATTTATATAATAATATGTTATATATATTTATATCTAAATTTAAATCATAACATCTCATGTGCTAATGTGGTTATTTTTTATATATATAAATATATTTGGTCCAGGTTCGAATCTCACACATTACATCTATTTTTTTTCAATTTAATTTTAATGAGCTAATTTCGAGTCAAACATGAGCCGAACACGAACACACTGTTCACGAGCCAATTTTTAACACTAGCCGATTTCGAACACGAGCTATTTCGAATGAGCCGAACACGAGCCAAGCCTGGCTCACTCAAGCTCGGCTCATTTACAGCCCTAAATGGGAGTGAAGCTTTTTATTTTTATCATTAATTTTAGTTCCTAATGTCTTCAATCTTTTACTAAAATTGTGCCACATAAAATCAATAGGATTTTTAAGATGGCCAACATTATATCTGTCCCTACTATATATATTCTAGATATTTTATTTAAAATGTGCTGAGGTTGAATAAGTGTGTATTTATAATTTCAGCTTTTTCACAAGATGATAGAGACATAATCATTTGTAATCATTCAATAATAAGGCAAGAAGAAGAGGCAAACTCTCATCTTCCTAAAAACATAGAATTGGCTTAGAAAAGTAAGGGTGAGTTTGGGGCTGCAGTGTGTTGACAGTGAGCACTTTGTGACATTTGTGAAAGCATTATGTCGACTGTTTTTAAAAATTTTGTGGTAGGAATCTATGTTTTGCAAACCTATTTGTGGTTGCAGTCAGAAAACTACGATTATCTCTGGTTTTTTGAAAGAAAAAAAAAAAAATTCGTACTGGCGACCGCAACTTTTTTTAAGGATCTTTTTTACAGGAACTTTTGAGCTGCTTCTTTAAACATTTGTAGTTATCCCAAGCAGACCCTAAATCTACTAAGATTAGTACTATTTCTTTAATAAAGCTTTTTTTTTCTTTTTAAAGATAAGATTTAACGCTCAAACTTGGCTCATTGGGTTACATGTTTGAACGTAATTTTACTTTCAACCAATATACTAAGCATTCAAGTACTTACTTGTCTTTAATATTATAAACATTTTTTAAGATTATTTATTTAATAAAAGTAAAAAAAAAATGCTTTGGTTCACAATGAAATCATCCAAAGCATTAAAAGCACAGCAAAATGATCAACTTTTATTACCGATGATTCCCACAATCAAATTCACATATTCAATTGTTCATTTTAAACATTTAAAAACAACATAAGAATCTATAAGTTTATCTCCACACATCTAACACATAAACTTATATATATATATATATATATATATATCTGTGTGTGTGTGTGCGCGTGTGTGTACACAACAACAACAAGCCTTTACCTCACTAAATGGGGTTGGCCACATGAATCTTTTTCTCTCCATTTCGTCCTATTGAGTGTCATATTTTCATTTAATTCTAATAAATTAATATCATTTTTTACACAATATGTCTGACTCTTTCTTGGTCTTCCTCTGTCTTTCTTAACATAAGTCAAATCTAAAACATCCACTCTCCAAACCATTAAAGTCACTCATCCAAATATGCACTCTCATCTCGGCAACACTTAACTTAATTTTATGCTTCTCTTTTAAAGGACAACCTTTTGCGTCATAGAGCATTGCGTGTCTCACCACCATCTTATAAAATTTTACTGATATTTTTCTATCACGCAAAAGACCCAAAGCATTCATCCACTTCAAACAACTAACTTGAATTCTACTAATAGCATCCCCATTTATATCACCATCAATTTGAACAATATACTTGAAATATCTAAAGCTTTCACACCTTTTAATAATTTGATCACCCAAAGTTACAACTTTGTCACTAGAGGCTACTACTAAAATTGCATTCCTAGTATTCAATTTTGGTTCTACTCAAACGAAGGCCTTTATACTCCAATGTTGACCTCCATAATTCAAGTTTTTCTGAGCACTCTCTCAAGTCTTATCTACAAGAAGGATATCATTAGGGAAAAACATACACCAAAGTACATCCTCCTGTAAATGTGCAGTAAGAGCATCCATAACTAAAGCAAAACGATAAGGGCTTAAAGCAGATCTCTATTGCAATCCAACTGAAATAGGAATATATTTGGGCAATCCTCCTTCTGCTCTAACACAAGTAACAACTCCAGTATACATAGCTTTAATGACTTGAATATAAGTCAGATCAACACATTTCTTCTTTATAACTCTCCAATATTTATCTCTTGGAACTGTATGTTAAGTTTTTTTCTAAATCAATAAAAGTTATATGTTGATCCTCCTTATTCTCTCTGTACTTCTCCAACAAACCTCTCAATAAATATATAACTTCCATAGTAGGCCAAAATATTTTTAATGTCTTAACCTATTTTCTATTACCCTCTCCCATAATTTTAAAGTATGACACATCAACTTCGTTCATCTATAATTTCCACACTCTTGTGCATCCCCTTTTTCTCGAAAATGGAGACCAAAATACTCTTCCACCATTCCTCATGAATTACTTTAGTTTTTAAAATAAAATTAACAAGTTTAGTAACACAAGAAACTCCAAAATCTCAATATTTACACAAGTCAATTGGGAATTTTTTATGTCCAACATACTCTCCATCTTTGATTTTGTTTAAAGCCTTTTCAACTTCTTTTTACTAATTCAACGGTAAAAATGAAATATTTTATTATTATTAACGATATTAAGAACACTAAGGTTGATCGTATTTAAGAAACTTCAACGAAAAGTTTATCAAAATCTTTATATCCTTGTAGTCGATTAATATATATATATATACTTTAATTACTTATAGCCAAAATGCGTGATCGAACAATTTTTATTCTTGTTCGTCTCATTAACTTGGCGAAGGAATCTAATACGGGCTTTTTATTGAGCCCAACACTAAATGTTCACAAACAACAAGCAGTTTTGACTCACCACCACCTATCTTTTACACACACTGATATATATATATATATATCAATGAACGGATAGGTGTATTTCTCTTTTAAAAAGTTAAAATAGTAGTATTTTTATGTCATATGAAAGATAAGACTGAAAAAAAGGCAATAACTGCAACATAGACTACATTTAAGATATAAAAAGACACAATAAAACAAATTACAAGGAAGAAGATAACTGCAAAAACATAAGTTTCTTAAACTGAACTTTATAAAACTTTTTTTATTTTCAGACTCAGAAAAGATAGAATGACATTTACTACCCATCCCATGCAGAACAATCATGCAGAACAATCAATCATGAAAATGGCAGAAGAAGCTCTTTCTTTTATCTTTTTCTCCCAACAATCAAAGTAATTATACCAAGCATCACAGTGCAGTTTGGAAGCCTGCAGAATGCAACAGAACCTCTTTGATTTCTTCTGGTAAAACACCAGGCCCGTCCTTAGATTGCTGCAAAAATAACTCATCTTACAGTTCAGTCTGCTTAAATGGGTGCAGAAAAGTGGTAGAGGAAAGAGTTTACCTCGGCTCTAAAAACATCGAGAGCGAAGCCGTTGAAGCAGCTTATGACGGCCTGTTGGATGTCGAGGCCGAGGCCTTCAAGAGCTCGCATCGTCGAAAGGAGGAGACCCGGCCGACGGGCGCAGAACATGTGTATGTTTACAGCTCTGCCTTCTCTGAGTCTTACTTCCACCTGAGTTTAGAAGAATATAACAAAATAGTCAGTCTTATGTATTGATTGAATATCTGGTTTTTATATAACAAAACACCACACAATTCTTATACATAGAAATCGTGTATTATGTATGTAAGCTTTCCAACAAAGAAACAGAGATATGCCATATTATGTTAACAACAATCTTAAAATAATAAGAAGTTCATGAAATTAACATTCTGTAAAAAAGTGATGTTTTTGTCAGCTCAAGCCAATAAAGAAGAAAGTAGAGATTTTGAATGTTTATGAAATGGGAGATGATTTCCTTAGATACCCCATATGGTTCTTACATAATGATATATCTAACATCAACACTTTAATATTTGCATGTTATCTTGATTCAAAGTCTAGGTGTTAGACATGCAAATGCATGAGAATTGTTTGGTGTTTATGTAAATCCCCTTAAAATTTTGGACCAAAATAAAAAAAGAAACTTTTTGAATTTAATCAAAACTAATATTATGAGGCAAACACGACATTACATATTAAGCCAACTCAACCTATAAGCTAAGAGAAATAAACTTAATCAAAACAATACAAAAAAAGGGAAATTTACATACCCATCACACAATTCTTATGTATTTACTTATCTCACGCCTATATTTTCATATTTATGAACATAACACTGGTGCTTTAAATCTATGAATGAAAGGTATATTTCACTATTAAAAAGTGGTAATAATGCTGCTATATTTATGTGATTTTAAAGATTTAAGTGCTATAAGTGTGAATATGAAAATATAGGTGTGAGATATGTAAATACATAAGAATGGTGTGATATGTATGTAAATGCCGCCCCCACCAACAAAAAAAAAAGGAAAAAAGAAAAAATGAAATGTGTAATCTAAAGTTGTAGATTTTTGAAATCTAACCCTTGCCGGTTGACCATTTGGGCTCGGTAATGAACTCGGACATAGCTCCTCCTTGATCCGACATGGAAGAGTTGAGGGCGTCGGCGTTAAGGGGTGAAAGCTTGATGTGCTAGATGCCGGCATGGAAGAATTCGTGGACTCGAGTTCATTGTGAAGGTCATTGATTCTCTGTAAAAGCTCTTTCAAATACTCAATTGCATCGCCGAGAATGGAAGCTCTATCCATCTATCTCAACAACACCAAACATGTTAAATTTTTTGGTATATCTATAAATAGAAGAAAAAGAAAATACTTTATTTCAAATAACTAATTAAGACCATAATAGCAGGGTTTAGTGAAAGTGAAAACAACCAAACAATCAATGAAGCGACTATGTGCAATGGAAATGACTGCAAAGATCTTAATCAGCAGAAACTATCAAGAAATGACATGAAAATAATGGATTTATAAGTAAAATTATTATATTTTTTCATTAAATTCATGTAAATCTTCCATTAATATAATGATTAAAATCTTGTACCAAGTGGAAGCCATTAATACTCTGAAAGAAAACCACTGGGGCACAAAATAATGGGATTAAACTGATGATGATATCGATGAATATTGAACAAATATTAAATTTTGCAGCTGTTATCTGCACAACAGTTCTGCCCAGAAGCTATTTATTGAGAGAGATTTTGTACTAGAAAACCAATATATTCTAAAAATAATATTATATCCAAGATATAAACAGCAAAAAGACAAGAAAAATTTCAAATATTTTAGAAATATACCAGTAGCAAAATTATCTAAATGATTGAACCCATCACACAAGGAAAAAGATTAAATTGTCAATTCAGAAGGGGACCAAAAAGCAAAACATAAATGCAGATCACATTCATTCAAAATCATCAGAAAAAGGCCAGCTTTGAGTAACATGTTGGCTAAAAATCCTAACTTGAATAGCAAAATATGGTAATTTTTGCATGAAATTCATATATTATCAAACTTGTACAATTCAGCAAGAAGCCAGCGGAAATGAAATGAAGGAGATGAGGGTTCTCACCTTACTGATCTTTGGAACAACAGATCTTAGCATATAAAGCCTGTCATTGAGCTTCTTCCTCCTACGCCTCTCAGCCATCAGATTCTTAGCAGGAAGCCCCTTTCTCCTACCCTTCAGCTCTCCACCCCCACCGGTAAGACTACTATTCGTAATGGAAACATTACCTCCTCCTCCTCCACCGGCAGCTGATCCTCCGCCATCATTCTTCTCCTCATCCGTCTTTACAGTCTCTGCAACTTCACAGATATCGTCAGAGTCATAATTTAAACCAGAGCCATCAATGCTGGCATCATCAAGCTCATCCTCATCATATATTCGCCTCCGCTTCTCAAACTCACCATCCCAAGAGCTCCTCATCTGCCCTGCATCCTCCATACCCAAAACCCCCAAACGCATACCTTTCTCACCACCAATAGAACTTGAATTCTGGCGCAGTGCGGCCGCCGCACGTTTCTGAAAAAGATTAGGCTGAGCACCTACTGGTGGAAAGATCTCCAGAGGCCTCAAAACCTTCCCTCTGCTCAAAAATGGCGAATTTTCAAGCGAATCGAATGCCATGGGGTTCAACAAAGAAGAGCTTCCGGTCATAGGCAGAAAATCTTGACTATTAATCTGCACGTTGGGGAAACCCAACATTCCACCACCAAAAACGGAGGTGGAGGCGGCGGAGTTCGCCGGAGGGAAGAAAGTCGGGTTCTCCGGGACAAAATCGAAGCCGGAATCAAAAGGGTTGGAGCAGACAGCAGAGAGGAAAGAAGAAAGTGCAGGTTTGTGGGGGAAGAAGGACTGGTGGGCGGAGGGATCGAGTGTGAAGACGGAGGAAGGTGAGCAGGAGGAATCCACCGGCGGCGAAAGGAGCGGGGAGGAGTCGCCGGCAAACCCCTGGTTTAAGGAGCTCCCGGCGAGGTTACCGGCGTTGGATGAGGTGGTTGCGACGTACCAGTCGTCGTCGAGAATAGATTTGAGACAGGGGAGGGCGATGTCGTCCCTCACTTCTCCCATGGCGGCGGTGCAAGAGGTGGATCTTATCCATGAAGCGGTGTCGTCTTCCTCCTCTGCCGCTTCTCCGTCCCTCCAAACGGCGCCGCTGAGCCTCGAGAGCATCGTCTCCTCTGTTTCAGAGAGGAGGGGGGATGGATGACAATAGGATTAAATAAAGGCTGCTGCTTTGTTGCTTATTTGAGCAGTGGGAAGCGTTGGGGCTTCAGCTGTCAAGCTCTGGTTAGGGAAGGTGAGAGAGACAGAGAAAGAGGAAGAGAGGGATGAGTTTTTTGAACGTTCTGCTATAAAATCTGATGTGTCGGTAAATCCCAAACGTACCTTTCCGTTGGGCCGGTAAATTTATAATTACTGAGCGGTAATTTTATAGTTTGCAAAAAGTTTACATTTAAGTCCATTCACTCTAACTCCTATTTCGAGACTCATTCTTTTGGGAGTTTATTTTACTGGGATCAAATTTTTGTCCATCCTGAATTTATGAACTGCAACATCTGCTGACAGTCCTGACATTTCATCACAACTCCATGCGAAACAATCTTTAAACTCTATTTACAGTTTGATCAATTCTAAAGATTCTTCATCGTTGAGTAGAGAACTTATAAATATAGGTCGATGTCGTTCTTCAGTCCTGAGGTTAATTTTCTTCAATTCATCAATAGTTGATTTAATTTCCTCCTCAAATTCTGGCGGAGCATCTTCTATCAATTGATCAGTGGAGTTATCTTCCATACCGAGACAATCCTCTCCTGATTTACGAGTAACAAGCATGCAAAACTCTGAATCATTGACTGGTCCGACTGTACCAAATCCGAGACTCTCTTTCGATTTGGGAGTTTGAATTTTAATATCCCATAATTTTTCAAAAAGTTGTAATTTATCTTTTGGCATTTGTTTTGGCAAATGTCCCTGTTGAATTAACTTGTGTACGCAAGACGAAAAATAACCAAAAGACAATTTCATTAATTCATCAGGATCATCATCCAAATTTACATGATTTTCAAGATTAGTAGAGGTAGAAGCACGATAAAACTTAATCGGTTTTGAACCAGCGCTACGAACTTCCTTGCCCTATAAACTCTCGACCTTTTGAGGGAGAATAGGAGTAAGGGTCATAGTGTTCACATAGTGGTTTATCCGATCATACATCGTCTCATATTCGCTCTGCTCTGTATCTTCTAAGGGTATCTCGTACTGAGATTTCTTCTGTTTTGTCATCATTATTTCATCTTCAGAACTGTCTTCATTATCAATGTTCATGATTGGCCTAGTCCGTTCAACAATTAAATTGGCTCTTCCTCGTCCACGTCCCCCGCCTCAACCTCGGGTGTGTGGACTAAAAGAACCCCCACTAATTTGTTGCAAAAGAGTGGCGGAAGATTGCTGAAGCGGAGTTGAATGGCTTCCTCTTTGTGATTCTTCTGAATCTTCACTTTTGTTTGTCACAGTTTCACGAGAGAAGACAGTTTTCTTTGGAGGCGCGTAGTAGGTGGCATCTTCATGAATACCAACTTCATGCACTGAAAATGGTTGTAGATCTCCATTGATGCAATGTTCTTGTCCTTCTTTGTAGTACTTGGTGCACTGATGTAGAGACGATGGAACCATGTTGTGTTCGTGAATCCATGGTCGGTCAAGTAGAGCGTTGAAAGAGGTCTCAGCGTCGATGATATGAAACTTAGCGGGTCTCACTAGCTCTTCTACCTTCGTAAATAATGTAATTGATCCAAGGGCTCTCTTCCTTTTGGTTGAATCCTCTTAACATCACCTCTTAACATCATTTTTTCATTTTTTCGGTCGTAAGCTCTTGGGCTTCAATGTCCAAATAGGCCAATGTCTGTAGACTCATCAAGTTGAGTAATGCTCTAAGATCTGCTAAAACTTTGGAAATCACAAATCTACCAATGTTAACAAAGATGTAGGGTGGACGATTGTGGTCGGCAGTACCGAGCAGCAAATCTTCATCTGTAAAGGTTACCTCGAACTGTTCTTTCAACGAGCAAACCTCATCTAAGGATGTGTTGGCCAACTGGGCCAAACAAATCTCTGGGTCAAGGAAAGTTATAACTAGAGACACTTCCATCTCCTCTGACAATATCAGAACGTCGTAGATGTTTAATATGGTCGGCAACTTCCTGAGATGAGCTAGCACGTTGTAATCCACTTTGTATGATCCTCCAATTTTCTCTTGATTATGTGTTTCTTCCGCTGGTGGAGGCGGAGATAGTTCTTCTTGAGTGACTATTTGCTTTCTGTTATATGCCGGAGCTGTTCTCGGGGGTAATACTCTCTCGCTCCTTAAGTTCAATTCTATAATTTCTTCTTCTTGAGATATCATTGTTAAATATTTTGGTGTTTCTTCTTTGTCAGAAAGATCTAATTTGATGGCAAGCAGTGCACCGTGGCGCTCGAGGATTGGTTCCTCACTCCCGAAGTTCAATACCATTGCTCTGAGAAGGGAAGCTTCAATCAGAGGTGCTCGGCACGTTCTTGGAGGTCCAAGAAGGCTAGGGATTGGGCCTCTGGTCGTGGTGAAAGGTCTAGACCCAAATTCAATCAAGGCCGAATTTAGGTGTTGATCAAAGTCTAGTGTGGAGGCTCTCGGTGAGGGGACTTTGATAGGGGATTCTTCTCCTTTCACTGTGGTGAAGGTGTGGGTGAGTTTAATTGAGATTTGGTGCACTGTGGAGGCGTCGTGGAGAATGTCCTGTCTCCGGCAAGGATTTGAGCTCAAAAATTGAGCTCCAACAAGGGAAATGAGGGCAAGGAGGTGGTTGGGTTGCACTTAGGAGGTCTCAAAGAGGTCATGGGAGAAATTTGGAAGGGTCTCCTTTAGAAAATTTCACTTCCTTTGGCCATGAAGAGGCCATTTTATAGCCATGGCCAGAGAGTGGAGCTCAGGGCTTGGTCGTGGGTGCAAAATTCTGCTGAGGTGGTGGGCTAACAGGCTCTTAAGCTTAATCAAGTTGAGTTGGCCCCTAGGGTTGAGATTGGGTTTGATTTAGGGATGATGGCCCTCGATTTTGAGGTGCTTCGATGACTAGGCCGGCTGATTGGGCCAGGGGAGGTGGCTAGGAGGTCAGGTGAGCCATAGGAATTTGTCACAACCATTAATTTGGGCTGATAATGGGTTTTGGCAAAGATCTCTTTGACTTAAGCAATTTAGGAAACAAATCCCTTGATTTAGGGGACCTTTGGTCTATTTATCAACAAGGGTGGGTTAAGTGAGTCTAGCATGGTTACTAGGGTCCAAAAATTGGTTGTAGAAATCTTGCCTTGGTCAATTCCTCAATTTTGGTGCATTGGTTCAATGTGGGTCTAAATGGCCAAAAGTTGGGTTTGAGTTAGGCTAGCCATGACTTTGAGCCCAATTGATTGATAAAAATTTTGTAGGTGATTGTAATGAATATTTTTTGGTGAACGGTTGAAATGATTTTGAGTTCAATTGGAGGTTCAATTTGAAGGATTTTGGAATTTTGGTCAATTTAGGCATGTTGGGCTATACTTGGGTCTAGATTGGGCTAGGCTTTGGATAAGTACAAATTTATTGTTGAGAATGGTCTATAAGAACATCATGAAGAGTTTCCAACATAAATTGGGTGTCAACTTTGGGGTTAGGGCAATCAGTTTGGTGGAATTTAAATGTATGGACAATTTGAGAATTTTTGGACTTGGGTTAAAATTGAATGCAATTGAGGCTTCACAAAGGCCAATTGAATGTCAAGTTTGGTGTGTAGGATTGTTATGAAGAGTTTAGGATTCAAATTGAGGAAAATTTAGTAGGCTATGGGATTCAATTTGGTGGAACCAAGTCATAGGGCCAAAGTTGGGGTTTTGACTTAGATCAAAATTGGGCTTAAAGCATCGGCCAATTAAGCTTGAATTTAGTTTATATTGGTCATTTTAATAGTGAAATTGAGTTTATAATTGAAATTGAGTGAAATTTGGGCCAAATTGATGGACATTTAAGGTGAATTTGGGGAAATTGAGCTTGTAAAGACAATTTGGGGGTTTTGGTAAAAATGGTCAAATTGGCCAAATTGGGTTTAACTGGAGGGTACAAATTGGTTTTGGAAACATTTGGAGTGATTTTGAAGGTTTTGGGAAAGTTTCGGGTGCCAAGGTTATTTTTGTAATTTTGGTCATTTTGGGGGTATTTGGTAAATTTGGAATTTTTGAGTAGTTTTAGGTAACTTGGGTATTTTGAAAAGGTTTGAAATGATTTTTGGACAAGTTTGGGTATTTTGGGTGGATTTGAGAATTTTGGCCAAATTTAGGGCTCCAAGGGTATCTAGGTAATTTGGGGGATTTAGGGGCAAAATGCCAAGTTGGATATTTTTTGTAGAGTTGGGGTGCCAACCACCCTATATGAGCCATAGACCAATGGAATCCTGATCCCTCTTGATACTGCTAATATGCAAAGTACAACAATAATTCAGATTATATTTCACTTATATTTCTTTATTTCGCAACAAAACCAAAAACTTGATCATGAAGAAAAATAAGAATTTAACTTTTAATTTATATATATTGGGATACTACGCAAGCATACGTATCGTTATCAATTAATATAGAACTTTTTGATTAAGACTTGAATATTGAACCCACAAGAAATTTATACAATATGCGTTTTTAGAAAATTTTCTATTTTTAAAAAGACAATTACTTAAACTGAATATATTTTGCACTAATAAAAATTCAAATATTTTTGGTATTTTTGATATTTTGACAAAATAGTAACAACTTAATAAGATAACTAGAGTTTTGTAGATGAAAAACACTTAATAAGAAAAATATATTTCTTTTTATCATGAATCAATAATAAATATAAGAATTCTGTTATAGAAGTATGTAAATTGTGTTGTGTCAAATAGGAGCAATAATATTTTTTACCCTTACTAAAGATGCTATAAAGAACATTGATCTATAAAGAACATGAATAGTTCTGAAGACCGGTTATGCATGGAAGATACTAGCTCTCACTTTAGAGTTCTCTCGATTCATCCACCTGGGGGCTAACATCTCGTATCAAAACCTAAAATAATAAACCAGGTTGGGGGCTTTAACCTGTCACTTTAGTCCTCTAACTCTACACCTTTCAATGAATATTTCCCTATTTATTTGCAGTCAATCATATGAACTACATTCTCATTCATACAACCTCATGTGATTCTTTCTAATTGTTGATTGAGAA